TACTGAAAGGGTGTATTAATAAGACCAAAGCCTACATTATCCCCATGTGTTAATCTCACGGAGTTGGAGATCTGCTCCTCAGTGGAACGCAGTTACTGAAATGTAACAAGCAATCTCTTAACATCATGCAGTAAACATTTTAACAATACATATTATAGACAAGTGAATTGTATTTTGGAATGAAAGTTGTTTTAAACATTTGCAGACCTCGTGTCTGGGCCATTTTTTGTATGTCTAGTAGAAACGTTTCCTTAAGACTTCACTTTAAACAGCAGGCTTCACTGTGTCTGAAAGAATAAACCCTCCAGAGAGGGATACATAGGTGTTGGCTGTACAGTCATGAGACATCCTGTTGTGGGAGAATCCTCAAATCACAGTGAGATAAGATTATAAGGTGGAGGAGCTAATGTTTATTGCTCAGATAAAAGCTTCCATCCATCATCCTCTGTCCTGTGGTGGGTCAGTTCAGTCTGCACAGTGTGGTGCTCAAAGGCTTTCGGACACTGCAAAGGCTGGCTACTAATCCTGGCTGAGGTTAATAGCAACAAAACCCTAAAATACATGCCGATGCCACTGCACTTATTAAATTAGGACAAGCAAACATTTCACTGTGGTATCAGAAATAGAGGGTGAAGAGGAACCTCAGTCTGCAGTGGTAGAGAGGACCTGTGAAGTACTGAAGGTCCTGTCAGCAGGTTAATTAATACTGGTTTTGTATGAGAGCAGCCTGGTTTGTCTGGGCCATGCATGGCTCAGGTGCTTTTCCCAGTATGCCTTGCACCAGCTGGAGACGGGGATTGATACAACACAGTACTTGGCCTTGGCGAGAATGACCTCAGGGTTCTGTGAACAGCATCAGTTTACTGGCCAGACTCTACACAGTTCCAAGCACATGCAGCCTTTCACAGATATGGAGCATGCATATTAGTTTTACCAGCTCTACAGAGGAATTTCAAAGTATTCTCTGTTAGATTACGGGGGACTGCGTCAGTCCATCAGCCCACAACATCATAAACTGAGGATCTGTGTATTGCAGCTCATTGTGCTCAGTGGCTGCTTTACTCTACAAGATAATGCTGTAATAGGACCCTTCTCAGTGGGGTCTGCCAGGGATAGCATGAGAAATGGAGACAATCAGATGAGCTGAATAAATAAATGGAGGTATAAATGCATTAATGGATAAATAAATGAATGGCAATTAAGTGGTGGGAACTAGATTTGTGGGATATTTTTTTGTTTTTAATGGAACAGGTCACTAGGGGGTTGAAGGTGGGGATGGATGGTGGGTGGTGTCGATCCCTGTAGGATGCTCGGGTTTCAGTTCAGGCCTGGGAGCAGCCTGTTAATAGGAAGCAATCAGAAGGCTTTTCCTTGGGGAGACTGGCTTCTCTTTTGTTGTCTACTGCTTTATTCAGCCAGATCGGAGGGGTAAACTCTATAAAAGATCAGAGGAGCAACCTGCCACAGGCAACCTGGCTTTGACCTGGTTAGATGATGAAACCAATCAGAGGTCAATACATAAAAAAGATCAAAAAGATCAGGAACCGTGGTAGATCATGTAAGAAAATCAATTTTTATGCATTACGTTTGAGGTTTTCTCTGGGATATAATGGTGTTTTGTGGACAGCAGTTTGCATTCTACAAGCTTAGAGTTCAAGCTGGTACTCCCCCTTTGCCTCAAAAACACTTTCTTTGGGTGTGGCAACTGGAACAAAATAAACGCCTTCTGTTCGCAAGCTGCAGAAGCGCAAGTCACAACACACAGCTGACACCATGTAGCTTTCTGATTCACAGCCAAGATTTGGGAGTGTCTCAGATCAGTGAAATAATCATGGCATCCTCTGCTTTGTACCCCTTTGTAAACACATTTTAGGACACAGTGTCACTAAAAACTGTGCTTGTGCTTTTTGTACACTTACCTTTTTTATATTTTACTTCCTGAGTTGTAATAAGATAATGTCACTGCTGTTGTAATTATTTTATAAACATTTACACAAGCTGCCATTTGCCGCAAAAAAGCGGATCTGACTATTTTAGAGAGGTGTTTTACCCAGTGAAAGAATTCATTAGCTTTTAGGTCTCCTGTTACATTCCTTTTCCACTTGAGGGACTTGGACAAACTATAAGACCCCCCATGACCAGATGCTGATGCTTGTAGCAGCATGCCAGGATTTCCTTACGCTTTCTGGGGTGGAGATAAGGTCTTTCTTCTTCTGCCACATTTCAAGCTTGGGCCAGCCCTTGTTCTGAAATTCTATAAGTTTAAAATAATGCTGAATATGTTTTCAGAGCTCCAAATGGCAATTTTCATTGTGGAAAGTTGATCCTCAGACAGGAGCACTGTTGATTTTTTCAGACAATCACAAGTAGATAGAATACAACGTTTCTGGTTACTGCTGTGAGTTTGGATGGAATCTGTGATACTGTTCAATCTCTCTGTAGGGTATATACTGTGATCTATGAACTGCCAGAAAACAGCCTCATACTATTTGCTCCTGTGGCAGGCTTAATCAGTGTGGTCATGTTGTGGTTTCCTGTTTTCTGGTCGTTCTCAGTGCTCTCTCTGTAGGGATCTTGGTGCAGGTACTCATGAAGATGCTATGGTTTTGAAGACCTCCTCCTCCTCCTCTTTCTTCCTCCCTCTTGGAAACTTTTGTTATCCACTCAGCTTTGTTTGTGCAGCTGGAAAACTCAACAGGATTACTTCAACACCCCACCTCCCCAGATCCAGAAGTACGACAGTATTCTTGGATTGTGAATTGCCCCATGCAGCCTGTAAGGGCCTGTTGAAGCCATTCATTATTTTTAGAATCGAAAGTTAAGTCAGGTCTTTGCTCCTAACAAACTCTTTCAGGTTTCCTAATGACTGACAGATTTTAAAAATAATGACAAAACAATTAATAGTGAGGGCCTGTTTTGTTAGAAAGAACTATTACGATTGAAGACCTCCCTTTTAGCCTTTCCAGGCTTAAAGACATGACAGAATTAACCTCCAGCTAAACACAAGCAAGGTCATAATAGGGGCCAAACTGCTCCATTGCAACAGACAGATTGAGTGGAACTGGATGGCGTTTAAACCAATATGACGACTGTTCAAATATGTCCATTTCAGCTGTTAGGTATTTTTAGTCAGATAGATATTGGTTAGATACTTTATGTATTAGAAATGTTTAGTGGAGATAGGATGTCTAGTTAGACTATTAAATACTTAGGCATGCTTATGAGTTTCTACAGGGTACATCTGGTCAAGGATACTAGAGAGAGAAGTTGATGACTGTCAGCAGACAGGGTGTTTAATATTATTATTATGACGTGTATAACTGAAGCCTTAGTCATAATATGTTCTTATGTTTAATATCAC